TTGCCCTGCTCCACTGTTTGGGAGCCACTCCACTAATAATTTGTCCAATGTATGCATAGGTCTACCAATACAAGAAGAATATCGGGCAGAAATATGGGCGGTTCAGTGTATTAGTTTATCGCTAATTGGAATTACCAAGTCCTGGTGACATAGTTCCAGTATTTCCAGTGCTCCTCCTCAACAACCTTCTGGATCACACCATGACACCGAGGGACAAACTTGCTTGGCAGGGGCTCCCCGTCAGCCTGAACAACACCTTCACAGACAGAAAGACAGCTAAAAGCCTTGGATCTAACTTTAAATAAGAAAACATACATCATATAGTAAAGCTTCTACCTTCAACAGCAACATACTGAAGTCGCTTGTACGGGGATGCGTTCAGCACTTTGATTAAATAATCATCAGGTTGGAAAATTGGGATTTCCTGAAACAAATGGTAAAAACAGCATTAATCAACATGAAGCAAATAACTGATGTGTTTCAGATTCATAACATAGCTTAACTTGCCTTGAGCTTTTTCAACTCCTTCTTTTTTTCCTGATATAGATGATAAAATAAACCGGAGCAGGCAAAGCTGGAGCCCACACCGAGCCAAACCAGAGGGTTTACAGAGAAATCACCCATAGCTGAAAGCTTCAAAACAGAACAGTTTACAACAAACTGCAAAATAACGGAAAGACAGAAGCTGCCTGTGTTAAAAGTCTGGTTTCAAATTGTTGTATTAAATAATATAACATAACATACAACAAAAAAGAAATAAAGACAAACCCTTATCTAATAACAAAGAATAAAATAAGTCACATATACCTGCTTTAAACAGAAAACGAAACAAAGGCGGTCAGGTTCATTTCCGTGTTTGGTTGGTGACGTCACGTCCGCTTAGCCAATAGACGTAAAGCTTTACATTTCACCAGCAGGTGGCAGCAAAAATTCGTCAATTAAGTTTCTCCTCTCTATGAAGGTTTGTTTTGGAAGTTTTCCTTTAGCTAAATTCAGATTAAAACACAAAATAAAAAGATAATTAGCAGGATATGAGTGTGTAAAAAAATATCTTAAAATGTACTCGGCTGACGCTTAAGCAGAGCTTTGAAGTGTGTGTTGAGTAAATAAATTAGGCTAAAAAACTGAATCCCACTGATGTATATAGATAGTATTGGCATTGTCTTTACGAAGAAAAACCCTTCTTAGTTTAGCGATGATTGATGTGAATTGTAAAAACTTTGATTTATAAATTAAAGAAAGTGAATAACTATATTTAGGACTTGTAATGCACTTTATATTTAAACAAATCCCAAAATGCTACATAGTAAAACAGGTAGGTGCTAAATAAAAATACATGCAGAGCATGAGAAATAAAAATGAAAAGAAAAGATAAAATAATCAAAAAATAAGCTTGACCCTAAACCTACAGCAGCTGCATCTACAATATTTTAACAACAGAGTCAGTTGTCCTGCACCCAGGGGCGCCACCAGGAATTTGGGGGCCCATGAAACACATTGATATTGCACCTCCCTCTCCAAATAAAAATGTATGCAAGATTTAAAGCTGCTATAAAATGCACTAATTTCAATTTAACATTTATTTTAAAATTTCTACGAAAAAAAATATTACAACTTGAAAAAGTTAAATGTACCTATTAGGTTTCACTATAACTTTATTAAAGGACAGGTTATTTTTTATGCTGGCCCTGAGAACTGAGAATTGTTTAATGACAAAACATGTATAACTGGTGCGGCTGCTACAGGCTGCTCATGACAATTATCAAGATTTATAGATGTCTTTTAATGGTATAGAATTTTATAATATCACATATAATATAATGTATTTATGGTATAATATATATCTTAACAGTATAAAAAGGTATTCTAGATTCAATATATTCATGCTTTGTTTCACTCATTACAGCTAAAAATGAGGGAGAACATGAAGATTATTTATTTTACTGCTGGATTTTCTTTCTATATTTTAAAAATATACCAGTGCTAATCTTTTTTTTTTTCTTTTGGGGCACCCCTCAGTCAAGGGCCCTTAGAATCTGCCTAACCTTTCCCCCCATACGGCGCCCCTGAATGCAGCAGCACCAGCAGAGACTGTCTCCAGAGTGACCAGGACCTCTGAGGGAACAACTGTGTTTAGAAGACTGAACAATCATATATACAGAACTGCAGAAAAAGTATTTTGCCTTGGATGCCGACACTTCCTGTGTTCAGAGAGGTCTATCTGGGCAGAGTGAGAGCAAAAAACAGAAAAATCAGAACATTGAAGGTTCCTATCTGTGTTATATATTCAATGTAAATTCGACCAGAATCTCAAAGCCTTTCATACCCATTAGATTCAGTATCTTGTATCCAATATTGATCTGAGAGTGTTGAGGTTAATCAGGGCTATCAAGTTTATTCTGTACAACAACATCCATTACATTGAAATATAAAGGAAAACTTCAGATGGCTTGGGAAAAAATCAAGGAGGGGGAAAGATGTCTGTGGTCTTATTGAGTAGTACCTTGCTGATGTGTGAAATACTAGTTGGGGCTGACGTTGCTGGCAGGTTGGAGGATGGACAGGCTTTGGCTGGTAGCTTAGGCGGTTCTGTTGAGCTTTGCTTCTTGAGGGTTGGACAGTGAGGGGGCTTGGAAAGAAGGGAACAACAGTTGAATCCAGAGTTCAACAGAAACTGTAGGTGTACGGGAATGTATAAGCACCACAAACATCACTGATGAATTCATTAAATGCTTCAGACAACAAAGCCATAGTGCCATTATAATCCCACTGCACGTTTTACATTTATTATCCACTTGATGACATAATACAGCAAATGAAGCACCTTGAAGCATCAGCACATGAGCAAACCAATCGGATGGGAAGCTTCAGTGCTCCATGAAGCTTTTTCTCGCCATCACTAGATGAGTTTAAAGATGAAAGACTGCAGTTGGAGTCAGAATTGTTCTGTCTACCACTCAGTGAGCAATATTCCACTGGCACCACAGCCCCCTTATGTATCCAGCAGCCAATCGAGTTACAGGTTGATCCAATTACCTTTCAAGGTAGGAGCAGGCCACACAGATGCATACCAACACAAAAGGAAGAAGAAAAAAAAACAGCAGAACTAACAGTTATAATGGTGTCTGTCTGTCTGTCCATATGTCTGTCTTTGCATGTTCCGGAAGTATATAAGTTGATATAACAGCTTTACTCATAGCTTAATTAAATGACAGAAAATACACCATCTTGACTGTTTGCTTCAGGACAAAAGTGTTAGAAGAAAAAAAAATATAAGAATTATTGCTCACCTGCATGTTCAGATGATTCATTGTTAAAAAATGAAAAAATCACCTTGATGTGGGCTGAACTGAACTCCACATTTCCACTTACTCTAATATTTTCAAAAAATATATAGAGCCTTGGGATGATAACAACACTCCCTTAATTTAAAAAAAAATCTTCATAGAAGTAGGATCATTACAGACCCCTCATTATGTTTTTTTTTTTCTTTTTTTTACTATTATGAGCAATGTCTAATATGTTTAAGGTTTTATTTTCAATAAATATATTATTAGTAGAGACCCAATATCCATCTTGATTAACAATTATTTAAACCCTTTTTAGTCATTTATTTAGGGAATCTATGCATGTTTTGCCAACATTCTCCCAAATGTCAACACAGTTTGCAATGTTTGACATTTAGCTTGATTGATTAACTTCTGTCTTTGTGTTTCTTGGCAAATCCCTGCTGATTCCATCCAATTTGTTTTCACCTCAATTGCATGATTAAAATCCTGCTGTTTACCATACATGCATTACAAAAGCACTGTGAGGCCATACAGTATCTTATTTTTATTTTATTTTAATAAAAAAGTTAAAGATGTTAAAACTTTAATTTTAAAATTTTACTTTAAATATAAAGAAACCTTAAGAGTGTGCACCATGCAGATGACGTTGGTTGACTTTAAAAACTAGATAACAGATTGATTTAATAACCTTTAGCTGTGTCTCACATCACTATAATTTTAATAATTTCAGAACACTTTGGGGCTTTGATTTTTGACAGGTCCCGAAATCAGATGCTGTTTGCTCTAAAGCTGCTAATCGTCTGATTGCTTTTAATTCAGGCACACTAGCAGTGACCAGTGCAGTGTCATTGTTAATCATGGAGGGAAGTATCTGTCTTCCCCCTGTTCTGTGCTTCTCTTTGTTTGCTGAGCAGAAGTCTGTCTATCTTTGCAAATGCATCATCTGGCTCTAACCACACACCTGTTTTACCCAAATATCAGAAGCCCATGAAATGTTCAGCTCTGAAAAAAAAAAAAAAAACACAAAACAGCAATAATTGGTTCTGCTTTTTTAATTAAACATAATAAACTAAGAGTAACAGTTGTTTAAACTTTTTATTTGAGAAATAAGCTATAAAAGGCTTGTTTTACCCTGTTTGGCCAAAATAACTAAAAAATGAAATGCATTTCTTCCCATCTCATACAGCAATCTTAAAGCTGATCAGTCTTTTATGCTCAGCCAGTTTCAAGTTGCCCCGGACAGGTTTTTAGAGGACCCAAAATGCAGAGTCGAACAGGCAGGGATGACTGCATGCAACGTTTAATAATGAAAAAGTAAAAATACAAAAGTCCAGAACTGATAGACACAAAACCCAAGAACCAAAAAGCTGGGAGACATTAGGGGGGAATTAAACAAAAGAATGACGAGGAAACAGCAAGGAGTAACTGAATAAGAAGTGTAGATATTGGAGACCAAAACAATGCAGGTGCAGGTGTAGCCAGAAGTAACTAGAAGGAGCTAAGGGAAAGGAGACCAGCATAAGGAGGGCGACAGAGTAACTTAAAAAATAAAACACTGCTTAAATATAACACAAAATATAAAAGAAACCAATGATCAAGAAAACACAGAATAACATAAATTAATGTGAAACTGAGAACTTAAAAAAGAAACTTCAACAGAAGTCCACAAAGAGCAGAATCATGACAGCAGCATCTTGATAAGATTCAGATCTGGTCGTTGTTATGTCGCGGGGTCCAGTTCTGCTTGAGCTTAAAATTATTCAGAAATGGCTCTCGGATTCTTCTCCTAAGCAGTGGAGTCCATGATTGCTCGGCCACACTAGAGCAAAGCTTCCCCAAAACAGCATGCTTTCACTTTCATGCTTCACAGTTGGTATTTCTGTGTTTGAAAAGCTCTTAAAATCGTTTCTAGGAGTTATAAGCAGCTACAGAAAGATTTAAACAGGTGATGGTATTGCTGATGAAGGTTCTCAGTCATCCAGGTCATAGTCATTCAAAGGTGATGGTATTATAAGCATCTCAATTTAAAAAAAGATTTGAAAGGGATTTTCCAGTTTTTATTAGATATATGATTTTCTTTTAGCATTGTTAGCATTGATATTAGACCAGTTAATTCAAATATGTTTAGAGACTACACAAATATCCCAATTTTTGAGTATCTTTCTAGCTCATCTGTATGCAACCATGTTTTCACATCTGCTTAAAGAAAAAAAAAGTCACTGAGGCTGATAAAGTAACAGAATGTTGTGTTTTTAGTTATCAGGTCCATGGAAATAGGAGCATATCTTTATGGATATCTTTGATTTCACAAATTTTCATAATGTCCAGAGGAACTAAAGAAACAAACCTCTTATCATTAACTAGTTTTATTTAGTGCAACGTTTCTTTTGTCATTTCATAACGTCTTTCTGCGATTCAGGTGTTCCTTCATCTTCGTAACATCTGTCCTTGACAGCTCACTGAATGGCATTTAAATCAATGACGTCAGCTTGCCCATTGTTGGAGGGCTTTTCAATAAGGAATGTGCAAGTTTACTGCTGCAAGACTGCATCAAACAGAGAGAAAAAAAATGA